ATGCAATGAAGAGATAGAGAACTCACCAGGAGCAGATGTGAAGCGAAGTAGGCCTCGCGAGCTTGGGTGCGGCTTCTGTGGGGGCGAGAATGGATGAATGTGAAGATGGAGGCTTGGAATGGACGATTGGGGAGCTTGGAGGCTAGGGTTTGCTTGAAAGAGAAAATGAACAGTGAAGAGGCAATAGTGACCCTTCGTGTGATGTTCAAAGAGGGGGGAAAAACCTAAACGGCGGCAGCCGTTTGAATTCTGCTCGCGAAAGACAGCTGGGTTGTACGGCCCAATGGCGTGAGGCCACGTGGCACTCAGAGCGCGGCTGTCAGTACGGCTGTACGACCCTTAACAAGACTACTGAGGCAATGGCCGACCAAATGGGATAGCTCGGCAACGGACCTGGTGACAATCACGCTCGGCCTGTACCGGAGCAACTCGGTGACCGTTAGCTCGGTCATGGTGATAACCCCAATCACGATTCGCTCCGTTGGGATTAAAGGGCAATTGAGAGGGGAGATTTGCACCCGCTAGTACGGCTGAGCTACGGTAACACGGGTCGTGGCAAACCGCACGGCGCTGAGCTGTTTTCTTTCATGACGCGGCCCTTCGGCCTGTTTTGCACGACCGAAGAGGTTGGCCGACCAGGCATGATCTAAGGTCTGACCGAGCTGTGACCAGACATTTGGCAAGGCACACGGTGACGTGTGTCAACCGATCTAAGAGCAGCCCGGGCTAGACTGATTACGGGGCGAGGACCGGCATGCCTCTAACCGGTTGGCCAAGGTGGACGGACTTCGTATAACCAAGAATGAAGGTAGGACGGGGGGAGGCCGATACGTCTCACGGCCGATCAACCAGGATGGACCGACCAAGAGTAGCTCGGCCATGAGAATCAGACTTTCGTTTCTTCCCCAAGGGATAGGTCGGCGAGATACTGCTCGGGTGTGCTGCTTGTGGTGGCAACTCTCCACAAGGGCTAGGCCGGTCGTGGTACTCCGGTTAAGTGAGCCGCCTGGGCCAATGGCGTGAGGGAAAGGACATCTGTTCCAAGCACACGTCAATACCGTTAGGCAGTTCTGCGTATACTGGTTAGAGGACTAGGCCTTTACCTGCGTGAGGTGGTGAGAGGCGAGCATTGCCACCTGTCCAGGGAAGGATAGCAGAGGTAGTGCGCGCACAATCTTGAGGCTGTATGGCTAGCCTAGAAATAGGGGAGGAAGATGAACGTTAGAGGTAAGCAACTTGCGCTATCTGAAACACCCTCTCTTTCTCGAATAGCCTGCTTCTTCCTCAAGTGATCTGACTTGATCGTCGGAGGGTCTATCCGGCACACCACTGCCGAGCAGCTCGCCGTTTTCTGTGTTGCCAGGTTAGATGCCGTCACGTGAAGCTTGAAGTCCAAGGAATACGGAAAGCAGAGGATATTTCACTCTCGTACAAAGGGAATAAATTTAATAATAAAAGTCTTAACTCAAAATTATATAAAAATTTTAATGTTGGATAATTGAAATCGTGACATAATAACTTAATTAATTTTTATAAATAATTTAAAAATATTAAAAATTATAGTGAGACTTTGAAACATAGGCTTCGTTTGGAAAGCCTAGTTTGAGACTTTTTTTTGGCTATTTTAGTCAAAATAAAATAAAATAAAATAAGTTTTTAGTTTAATAAGACAAAATATTATATCAAATTCATAATCATTAAATTCTTTATTTCACAAAAGAGTAAAAGAAACCAAAAGTCTTTCCCAAACAAGACTTTTAACCCCAAGTCAAAATAGTCAAAAAAAACAAAAAAACAAAAAAACTAATCCACTTTCCAAACCAATCCTTATAGAACTCGTAAGGTTTATATATATATATATAGTATAAATTACTTTCAGTTTTCATCTTTATTGAAATCATTTTTGATTGTCTATTTTTCAATTTTTTTCTCCACTCCTCCATTTTTCTGTAACTCTCAATTATTAGCAAGTTGGGTTGGGGCTAAAATAGTCACAAAAGACAAAACATGCTATTTTAGTCACAACAAACAAAACATCACATCCAACCCATAATCATTACACTCTTCTCTCACAAAAAAAATCAAAAAAGTCAAAAAGCCAAAAAGCCCTTTCCAAACCAAACTTCTTAGCCCAGGCTAAAATAGCCAAAAAAGTCAAAAAGCCAAAAAGCCAACCCACTTCCCAAACGGAGGCTTAATAAAATTATTATTTTTTTAAATGTAAAATATTGCAATAATGATAAGAACACTAAGGTTTGGTTTGGGAGGTGGGTTGACTTTTTATTTTTTTGATTTTTTTAATTATTTTAGTTTGGGATAAAAAAGTCTAGTTTGGGAAGCACTTTTGGCTTTTTTGATTTTTTTTAGAGAAAGAATGTAATGATTATGGGTTAAATGTGATATTTTGTCTTATTAAAACTAAAAAACCTATTTTATTTTTGTGGCTATTTTAGCCCCAAACCCACCCAAATCCACTTTCCAAACAATGCCTAATGTGTACCAATTAACAATAATTGGATACAATGGCCCTGTTTAGTAGAGTTTATTTCCAGTTTATTTCAACTTTTAGCTTAATTTAAGTTATTTTGATGTGTTTGGTTCAGCTTAACAATACAGTTTATAATTTTTTGTAAGTTAAAAATCAACTTATTCTTTGAGTGGGGAAGGAGAAGCTTAATTTATAAGTAAAAAATCAGCTTATGTTCACAGTTATAAGCTATAAGATGTTAGGCTATAAGTTATGACTTTCCCACAGCTCTACCAAACATGGCCAATATTAGGTAGGGTCACGTTAAGTGATGGAACCTATTTATATACCTTGGGGTCTCTTGGAAAGAAAATAAAAAGTCAGCTTTTAACTTTTTATTCATTTTGAATCACATTACCTTTCACATTTTTTATTTACAAAAAGATAAAATAGATTAAAAAAATCAAAAAATTAACTTTTTACCAAATTTTCAAAACACACTATCATGTCTTAGGGGTTGTTTGGGGTGTCCTAAATAAGTGCACTTTTTGTCTTTTTAGACTAAAAAGTTGAGAAAAATAATATGGTTGTTTGGGTTAATTTTTTGACTTTTTATAGAAAAATGTGTATTAAAAAATTATATAAATTAGTGTGTAGGAAAAAATTAGGATTGAGATTGTGCAGTCGTAATTTTTGCTTTTTAGTGAATAGTGATAACTTTTTAACTTTTTGAATAATTTTTTAACTTTTTAACTTTTTGACAACTTTTCAAACTTGGCCTTAATTTATGTTAATTGGTATATTAATTAATATTTATAATATTACTTAAATTATTATAACAAACATATTTTCATAATTTTATATTTTTTAAGTCATAATTAAAATTAAAAAATATATTATAACTAAATATAACATAAAATATAATTAAAAATACAGTAATGGTTGAGGGTTACAATTTTTGTGGCTCAAATGACTCGAAATTACCAAAACGACGTCGTTTTGAATACAAAATAACTTCGAAATCGCCAAAACAACGTCGTTTTGACAATTTTAAACTATTTAAGTTACAAAAATTATGACTCTTCAAACTTGGCCTTAATTTATGTTAATTGGTATATTAATTAATATTTATAATATTACTTAAATTATTATAACAAACATATTTTCATAATTTTATATTTTTTAAGTCATAATTAAAATTAAAAAATATATTATAACTAAATATAACATAAAATATAATTAAAAATACAGTAATGGTTGAGGGTCACAATTTTTGTGGCTCAAATGACTCGAAATTGCCAAAACGACGTCGTTTTGAGTACAAAATAACTTCAAAATCGCCAAAACGACGTCGTTTTGACAATTTCGAACCATTTAAGCCACAAAAATTATGACCCTCAAACATTTTTCTTAAAAATATACGTGATACATCATTTCAAACTTGTGTATATTAGAAATAGAAAATAAAAATACAAACAACATAAAAATGTAAGGCGCGTGAAGATAGAGACCCCACACGTGGTGGTGGTGTACCCTTTCGGGCCCACACACAAAAAGAATGTACCAATGACTCATTGAGCCACTGACCCACACACACCCTAGTTAACTAACCATAGTTAATTTATACTCCCACGTGCACTTCACCCCTGGTTAAATTAAACACTCTTCTCTCTCTCACTCTCTCACCATTCTTCTAGAGAGAGACACACATTCTAAAACCCTAATCTCTCTCTCTCTCTTTCTCTATAAATATAATTTTCTTTCCCTCTATATATATAGGCATGCACGCGTCTCGGAACTGATTTTTCTCTCTCTTCAACCTCGATAGTGCAATCACCGGAAGGAGGAGGAGGAGGATTCAAAAGGTGAGATATCGAACCTGCATTGCTTTTAATAAACTTTTTCTCTGATCCTCGACTGCTTTATCGTTTCTGGGTCTCTCACAATCTTCTCTGCCACTTTTCTCTCTCTCTCTCTGTGAAGACCTTGATATAATGCTTTGCAACTCTGCTTTGTCGACTGTCTTCCCGCAGTTAATTACGCTGATAACTTCTGCTCTTCTATTTTTCTCATTAAGCTTCTCTGCATGAATGCTCTCTGTTTTATTTTTTTTGGAGCATTGATTGATTTTGTATTCCAGTTCTCGATGATTTCTACTTTTGGCAGAGCTGTCGTTTTTAGAAACATTCGCGGTCGACGATTTTCCCAGAAAGTGTTGGAAACTTTTCCTTTTCTGATCAGTATTATGTGGATTCGAGGCTGTGAGACTTGAGTTTCTACTTTCTATTTTACTGTAATTGTTTCCATGGTTATGCTTCGTTTAGTAGTTGTTTTTAGTCTGCAACATATCGCCGTCGATATGGCTATTTTAGGGCTACTAAACTCTTTGATTCGCGAGTCTCAATAACCTCTGCTTCTCTGCTTTTTTGGCGGTAGTTCTTTTTGACTGATTTGATTTTGATTTGTATTCAGATTGTCTGTATTTTTATTACTATTTTCTCTTTCTCTCTCTTTCTAAACCTTCGGAATCGTAATTACAATACAGGCTCTCTCTTTCTCTCTCGTCTATGGCGGTGTAGCGTAGGGTTTCAAAGCCTCAGCGTTAGTCAAACTCTCTGATTCAGCTTTTATTACTGGAAGTATCTGCGAGAAAGTTGTTTCCATCAATCACATTGACGTAGACATATCTGTTGACTTTCTGGAGGAGAATCAACGATTCGTTTTCATATCTCCGGCCAGCACCAGTTTCCGATGAGCTTTGAGTGTGCATCGATGGTAAGAAATCCATCATTAAGGCGGCGAATCGCTTTGGTTACGGCGACATTCGCGGTGGGAATACTCATGATTATTGCGTTCCATACAGGTATATGTGCTCACCGAACCTACCAGATTCTCTTATATTCCCTTCCTTTATAATAATAATCCATTACAGTACTACTAGTATATATATGGAGAGATAGATCGATCACACACACACATATATATATATATATATATATATATATTTTAGGGCTTGAATAATTGTTCTAATCGGTTTGCTTTTGTTTAATTTAACAATGCTTCTTTTCCAGCGGCATGTATTATTACTTTTGATTTTTGATTCTCCATTATTTTCCATTCAGATCAGCGATTTGATAATCGTTTAGAGGAGTTGTTGAGTACAGTTGCGTCTGAGGGAAGCAATTCCACTCTCTCCATTCCGCATCGCAAGCTACTCCGTCGTGGTAAGCTTCAATAAAACCCTCTCCCTCCGTGCTTCTGCAATCTCTTATATCTCTCTCTCTCTCTCTCCTTCCTTTAATGTGTTTTTGGCTTTATGTACATATACACACGCTAGAAGAACGAAAGAATATCTGGTGCTCTGCCATTACCTCTTCTGTTTTGCTTTCACTTTTGTGTCGGTCCTTAGCCGCTTTACCTTTTTTGTAACCATTTATATGCTAATGAAACAGTGCACGTCCATCGATCCGACACGTACGGTTCTGTTGTATTTGGGAGGGAGGTGGACGTCAATTAAACTTTTCTGTTTTCTTTGAATTAATTCTAACGTGCACTGTTACATAAAACTGGCTTGTCCATGGGGGGATTATTGGTATTATAATTGTGATTGGTTGGAGATACGATGGTAAAATTGGATGACGGATTGTAGTTAATTTTTATTTTATATTTGGATATCGTATTATTAGTTCACTCGAATTGTATAGGTCATATAGGGATTTATTGGGCACATGTTTGAAAAGTAGTTTTCTTAATTTTTTTTATGACCTGATAAAAATCAATGTATTGGAGAATAATTTGTTTTAGCTATAACGAAAAAATGTGAATTATTAAGATATTTAATTTTTGTTTTGGGTAGTGATTTTGACTTCTTTGTTTTTGTTTTTTTTTGTTATTTTAGCTCTAAAAAAGAAAAAAAAGAAAAAAGTGATCTAAACTGACATAAGGCGTCACTTGGAAACAGAATATTTTAGTAAATTTTTAATTTTTGATAAAAAATATAAAAAATAAAGAAATTAACGCGACAATTTATGTTTTATCCCAAACAACACCTAAGATAGGTACATAAATTACGGTCACTTCCCCTCCTCTGAGATTTTGAGTTGCATAAGGGCATCCACAATGAGATAGTTAAAATTATTTGTTAAAGTGTGTTATATGACAAAAAGTGATAAAAATGGGGTCCAAAAATGTTTGTTAAGATGTGTTAAGAGTTCGCTAATTTTAGAGAGTGAGTGGTGGTGCAATAGATGTGTTAAGGGGTGTGTTAAATATATATATATATATATATGTGTATATAATAAATAAAATAAATAAATAATTTAGTTTAATCAAAAATTTCAAATTCAAAATTAAATTTCAAGTCTAAAAAAAAGTTCCCAAAAAGTTAAAAATAAAAAAATTTGCCGTTGATCGCTCAACTGGCTGGTCAACTCGGAAGACAAAAAAACACTTTTCCTCCCTCGTTAGAACACTCGTTGCAGATAATAAAAACAACGCTGATATATACACCCAGTGGGGGTCGACCCCCAGTGAGGTGGCGACCCCCTATTCGCTGAAAACACAAAAAAAAAAAAAAAAAAAAAAATGTTTTTTTTGAGTCAATCCCGGAGTGACACCTCACTGGGGGTCGACCCCCAGTGGGGGTAGGAAGCATTATTTTAATAAAAAACTTAGCAGCTGACTCTAACACACACTCTTAACACGCGTTAACAGGTCCATTGTAACACCAAACTTATCCCTCAGTTAGCCAAAAGTTGGCAACTGACACTAACGAGTGTCTATTATGGATGCTCTAAGGGATTTTGTTTTGTTAGTAACTTTGGACTCATATGCATTATCTCAGGTAAATTATCATCTTCTTCCAGGGATAATTCAAAATTATGGAAAGATATATTCTTTTATAAATCTTAAAACTAATAACTGTATATACATTTTTTTTTTGAACGTAACTGTATATACAGTTTATCCATCGAAAAGAGACCTCTGTTTCGTTTCAAATGTTAGCGTACTAGGTGTCAAGCGCAAGTTAGCAATCCTCAATCTTATAGCTGGCAAATTCTGTTGGCTGATAGTGGTATCAGAAGCGCATGTTAGCCTTCCCGCGTTGATTACATATGTTGAGAAAAGAAGGGTGATTCTTTTTCGGCTCCATTTTATATCCTAGACATTCTAAATTTTGAGGTGTTTAGAAAAGAGAGAAAAAAAAAAAAAAATAGTTGGTGTAATTGTACCTAATAAAGATAAAATTGGAGTGTTAGCATCACACAAAACAACAATAAACTAAAAGCATTATACTATTATTTGATTTGTTCCTTTCTTTCTGCCCTTGTGTTACCCCTAAAAAAGTTTAATTTGTCCTGGCTTTTAGTGGCTTGTGCGCTTTTTCCATCTGGTATTTTGTTTGTTTGTTTGGTTTTTTTTTTTTTTTTTTTTTAAAGATAAAAGGGGAAGAAATATTATTCAGTGTGTATTTTGTTTGCTTGTGGTTTTTCCTGCAGCAGCAACGGAAGTGGAACCGAACAGAATATGGGGCGACAAGTGTTCAAAATCAGACATAGTGATAAACCAAGGACCCACAGCACCCCTACCGAGTGGCATACCAACCTACACGGTGGAGATCATGAACGTGTGCGTCACCGGCTGCGACATCTCCGGCATCCACGTGAGCTGCGGGTGGTTCAGCTCGGCCCGCCTCATCAACCCTCACATCTTCAAGCGGCTCCGCTATGACGACTGCCTCGTTAACGACGGCAAGCCCCTCCTTAATGGCCGCGCCATCTCTTTCCAGTATGCCAACACCTTCCATTACCCTCTCTCTGTCTCCTCCGTCATCTGCTAAACACCCCACCCCACCCCAACCCAACCCAACCCAAATACTACTCTATTCTATTATTACTGTTTCAGTAGTAGTAAGTAACTAGTACGAATAAAGTAAAAAAAAACACAGCAATAGTATAAAGCCTTGAAGCAGAACTACTATATATGTATGCTTCCAGTTTGTTTTGTTGTTGTTCTGCTTTGTTGCTTTATATGTTTTTGTTATTTTTTGTTTGAACTAAGCTGCGTGATGATGATGGGGCACATATTACTAAGGTTTTTTTGAGTCTAGTTTTTGTTCTAGAATTAGGAGAGGGAGAGCGGAGGTAGAGTTGCTATTTGGGTGTATATAACAGAGTGGTTTCTATTTCTGGTAACTGATGTTAGATTCAAACTCTGAAAGAGGAATCCTTTTTTTGACTAGTAGTTTTTGATGATGTTTGTGGTGAGAGATATACCCTGTTTTTGATTGGAAATTTAAAAAGATATTTGAAAAGAAAAAAAAGTAAAAATATAAGAAAAATATGAATAAAATATATTTAAATTTTATCTGCGTTACATATATATATATATATTTTAATTTTTTTTTCAAAATTTTCAATTAAATGCAGCATTAGGTGATGATTCATTTTAAGTGCTTGGTTGGCTAAGATTTTGGGACTAAAAAAAGTATAAAAAGATAAAATAAGATATATAAGTTAATAAGATAAAATATCACTTTTTATTCATAATTATTGTATTTAAATGCAGCATTAGGTGATGATTCATTTTAAGTGCTTGGTTGGCTAAGATTTTGGGACTAAAAAAAGTATAAAAAGATAAAATAAGATATATAAGTTAATAAGATAAAATATTATTTTTTATTCATAATTATTATATTTTTTTTTTCAAAAAAATTCTAAAACAAAAATCAAACAAAGCTAAAAAAGTCGGGCTAAAAACCTTTAAACCGCCCTTCCCCCCCCTCTTTCTTTGTTGTGTGGAGGGTGTTCGTTTTATTATTATTAGTTTTTGAATAAGTTACACTGAACTCCTAATTTTAATAGTTTAGAGGGACCGATTTAAAATTATGTTCAATATGTGACTTGTAACATTTTTTCTTCAAATCTAAAGAAAGATTGTGTAATTTATTTGTATATTTTATGGGTATAAAATGTAATTTATTTGTATATTTCATGAGTACAAATTTCCATTTTAACTCCGTTAATTTGTTGACCACATACCGTATTTGATTCTCCTTGGTTGGATTCTTGCTTGGGCAATGCTATTTATACATGCACACCACACTCGTATGAATGGTTAAATCAAAAGTTAGATTAAACTGGTGCGACCCTTCCCCGTCAGATAAAAATAATGAAATAAATAAACAAAAATAATGAAGAAACTGATGCAAATGGAATTATACTTTACGTAATTGTCGTATCAGTTTCTAGATTTTATGTCCTTTTAAAATTTGTTGACAATGATCAGGGAATTTTTAGTCAAAACAATTGTTTTTCTTTTAAGGAGTTTTCTTAAGTGTGCAAGTGCACACCATGTGCCACTTACACAAAAAGTGTAAGTGTAAGTGTAAGGTGTAAGTGTAAGGTGTAAGTGTAAGGTGTAAGGTGTAAGTGGGTTGCATATGGTGTGCAACCTCAAAAAAGGTGTAAGTGTAAGGTTTAATTTTTTACAAAAGGTGTAAGTGTAAGGTGTAAGTGTAAGGTATAAGGTGTAAGGTGTAAGTTGCACACCATAACCAAACCCTTCTTTTAATGATTATATATACTTGTTTACTGTTTGGAATATGGCCATGTGACCAGCCTAGAACAGAAAGGCATATATGCCATCGCATGAATGCTTTCTGCTGAAAAATGATGAGAAAGAGAAATTGTATATAAAATCGTCAAAATTATTTGGTTCTTGATAGACATTCATTCATTGGGGATGCAAAAATAAAAGCAAAATAATAATAATAATAATATGTTATGTTTTTAGCTGTAAATATGCTACACACTCTAAATAAATATTGATGGGCACAGTTAGGAGGAGGCTGTCTTAGAATTACCTAAACAGTCATTCACTTGAAGCCTAACAAAACAGGCCCAACACTAAGCTTAGTAGAGAAACTCACAATGGTCAGGCCAGGCATTAGCTAGTCATGTGTCAAGTAGGGAGTTGGTCATGTAGCAGACAAAGATTTTGGAGAGTTATTGAGTTTACGCGCCAAACATTAAATGAGATTGTCAAAGCATTAAATGCAACAAGACTTATTGCTCTAAGATAGGAAAAAACCACCATGGTTAACGATAAGCAAATGGCAGGTTTTCAGCCAATGAGACAGCATGAATAGACAAGGAAATGATAAATGAGCAATATAAGGAAGCCTCTAATTTACGTTGGTAAAAAGAAAACCCCCCCCCCCCCCCTCTCTCTCTCTAACTGCTATTCCAATCAACTCCTGTCTAACTTATCCATCGGAGAGTCCACGGGGAGGAGCCACGCCAGTTTTGGTGCCTTTCCATTGGACCTTTCGCAGGTGTGCACGAAGGAGACGAAGGCTAACGAACCCACGGAGCACGTGGATTAGTCCGACCCATCTCCAACTGACTAAATTGCATCATCAGTTGGCGTTGTCTATGAGAATTTACTCTGATTGATAGTTGCGTTCATTGTCATTGGAGACCCGTCCCTTAAAACCTCTCTTTTACGTCAGAGTGGATGGTTACGACGAGATTTATGGCTTCACAACACAATGCCACCAACCCCCAAGTCGAGTCTTCCGACCCAAATAACCCGCCTATGTATTTCACAGAGCTCACTAATAGCATAAATCTCTTGGCCAAGCAAAACTAGGCCTTGATCAATGCTTTGCTCCAGCGAGATCTCCCTGTTCCTCCTCCCCCACCACCTCAAGACATTCTTCCAAACCACCATTACTCATACCCACCCTATGTTTTCTAAGGACCTCTCCCCACAGCCTTCGCCCTACACGCTTAGCGGTCTAACTTGAAAGGCCTGCGCCCCATTTCTCTCACAACTTCATCAGGATGAGTCGTAGCCCCTCCATAACCGTTATCCACCACACAACGCTGCTATTCATGAAGGCGAAGCTAGCAGTGTTCAACCCTTACTTTCTTCCGGAGGAGACAATGTTTCCATTTGGGACTAGCGAAGCTAGCAGTGTTCAATCCCTATTTCCTTCCGAAGGAGACAATGTTTCCATCTGGGACGCAGAGCTGCGAGCCATGAAACTCCAACTTCAGGGGGTCATGCAGAACAAACCTTCCTTTACTACCAACTCTCTTTTTGCCGTTTCTATCAGAGGCAAGCCTCTACTCCCCAAGTTCAAAATGCCGCCGATCGACACCTTCGACGGTACAACCGATCCAGTATCGAACGGTCATGGTCCTCTATGCTTTCCCTGATAAGATCATGTGTTGGGTTTTCCCGGTTACACTGAAAGGGTCGGCGCGACTCTAGTTCAGTTGCCTTCGTCCAG